GACACATATTTCACTTGGGTGGATTCTCACAGCCTCCACTTTAATTAAGCCTCTGAAGCCTTTGTTTTGTTCATTCATTCACTCACTCATTCATTCAGTAAATATGTATGTGCCAGGCATGGTGTAAGTGCTGGATATGCCATTGTGAACAGAGCAAGCATGGGTCCTAACCTCATGGAAGTGATAGTGGAGGTAGATGAACAATATAAAAGGAAGTATTGCTACAAATAGATGACTAAGGATCATAAGTGCTATGAATGAAAAGAACATGGTGTTGATGACAAGAATAACAATGGGTACTTAATTTTAATCAAAAAAAAATAGGGCAAACCTTTTTAGGGAGATACAGTTAAACTGAAATCAGAAGTATGAGAAGCAACCTTCTATAAGAAAAATGATGAAACAGTGTTTCAGTTAGTGGGAAAAACATATGGAAAGGCCCAGAATCAAGGAGCCTGGCCTGTTAGGAGCCTTAGAAGGTCAGTGTCTGCTGAAACACTTGTGCAGAAAGGCAAGTCGGTGCTGTTGGGAGAACAGCTAGTGATGTAAAAGTAGAACAGAAAAAACAAGGGCCAAAACATGTTAGGGAGCTCCGATTTTATTCCCCATGCCATGGAAACCCAGCAAAAGTCTTCTAGCAAGCTTGGTTTATTTTTAAAAGATAATTTTGGCTTCTGCTTGAAGATTGGATTGGAGTGGGGGAAAGATAGAAACAGGGAAATGATATAGGAGGTGTATCAGCTAGAATAGGCTAGGTAAAGCAATAACAAACAACTCCTGAATCTCTGTGGCTTATGTCAGCAAAAATCTTGCGCTCAGGCTACATAACAGTTGCAGGTCAGCTGGGCGCTGTCTCCATAACCACTCACTCCAGGGCCTGGGCACCCACCATCCTGAACACTGATGGTCACTGTAGCAGGAGAGGGAACGCAGCAAGCCATGGCTCCTGAAACCTCTGCCTAGACGTGTCCCTGTCACTTACACTTGCATTTTATTGCCCGAATGGCGGTACATGGTCTCTCCTGAGTTCAAAAGGGAAGGAATGTACTGCCTTGAAAGAAGGGCACTGCCGGAAAAGAAAGTAAAATATTTGGTGACATTAATCCAGTGTCACCCTTCTGGAGGTTACCATTGTAATCCAAAGAAGAGATGATGGTAGCTTTAATGGGAGTGATGCTGGTGAAGATAGATGGACAGATTTGAGGTTAATCTTAGAATTTCTTTTTGGATGGGATGATGGCTTGAAAATGATGATTTTTCATTCAGCCACCCTCATTAGACTGTGACCCCTGTGAAGAAAGCCATAATATTGATCTCCAGACCTCCTGGACCAAACATGAAATGGCTTACTGAATAAATCAGGAAGATTCCACACATCAAAAATTTGCTTTCTGGATGGAAGCATGGTTTGGAAGTTTTCACAAATAGGCTGAACCTGTTAGGCAAACAGTGGAAGGAGGAGATTTAAACAATCATTTAACCATCAGGGACAAACCTAGACAATGTATTAAAAAGCAGAGAAATTTGTTTGCCAACAAAAGTCCATCTAGTCAAAGGTATGGTTTTTCCAGTAGTCGTGTATGGAGAGTTGGACCATAAAGAAGGCTGAACCCTGAAAAACTGATGCTTTCAAGCTGTGGTATTGGATAAGACTCTTGAGAGTCCCTTGGACTGCAAGGAGATCAAACCAGTCAATCCTAAAGGAGATCAGTCCTGAGTGTTCACTGGAAGGACTGATGCTGTAGTTGAAGCTCCAGTACTTTGGTCACCTGATGTGAAGAGTCAGCTCATTATAGAAAAGACCCTGATGCTGGGAAAGATTGAAGGCAAGAGGAGAAGCGGATGACAGACGACAAGATGGTTAGATGGCATCACTGACTCAGTGGACATGAGTTTGCATAAGCTCGGGGAGATGGTGAAGGACTGGGAAGCTTGGCACACTGCAGTCCATGGGGTCGCAGAGTCAGACATGACTGGGCGCCTGAACAACAGGAGCAACCATAAGAGAGAGCCTTATGCAGGTTTTCTGCAGGATTGCAAAGAAAATTGATTTTAAAAATCTTTATTTGTGCCACAGTGCTGTTCCTTTCATAGGAAGATCTGACTTAGAACTCAATGTTGTGCACTGTCCTGCTCCATTCCCTCTTGGGTTTTAAATTGCTTCCATTTCTTGTCAGTTTCAGATCTCTTTACATCCCAGGATAGAATGAAAGTGTAGGCATTTGCAGCAATGTCTTTGGAGAAAATAAATTCCAGATATAGCCAATAAATCCAGCACAGTCACTCCCTGAAACAAAGAGAATGACTGGTAGAGCAGAGAAAAACCCTGCAGAAAACAAACCATCAAAAATACGGCAGAGAAGCTGGCCTGCCATGCTCCTGAGAGCCCACAGGAGGGCGCTGCTCACCCCTTTGCCCTGGGGTCCTCACGTTGCAGGAAGGAGACCCCTTCCAGGGCCTGGGAATGAGTTCTTGTCTAACAGTCTGCAGTGAATCATTGAGGAGACACACGTGCTGACAAAGCGAGTGACTTTACTGGGCAGGGGCCCCAGGGCGGAGAGCAGCGGGGTAAGGGAACGGGAGGACTGCTCTGTCACACGGCGCACAGGCTCAGGTTTTATGATTACGGGGTTAGTTTCCAGGTTGTCTCTGGCCAATCATTCTGACTCAAGGTCCTTCCTGGTGGCGCACGCATTGCTCAGCCAAGGCGAATTCCAGCGAGAATTCTAGGAGGCTGGATAGGACACGTAGCATCTTGTTTTGACCTTTCCTGAATGCTTCTGGTTGAAGGTAGCTTGTTAATTTCATGTTCCTTACCAGGACCTCCTGTTGTAAAATATAACTCATGCACATGATCTCTGTGGGGCCTGGCCAAGTTGGGTAATTTCAGTCCCGGTTTCCATAACATTTGTGGAGCTCCAGCCTGGGTGGGAGGCTGAGTAAGAAGAATGACTGCCCTATGGTAGGTGTCCAGAGGAGGTGTGGGCTGACCTGACCGGGGCCCTTAAGTTCAGTGTGGGCCACTCCTGTCTCCACCTAGGGTGGACCCTACTTGCTCCCGTCAATACAAATCGCCAATACAAGAGTGCCTGCTACTGAACGGAGCATATGTGCTCAATCTCAATTCCACATATATATTATACCGGGAACCAGATTGTTCTTTAAAACTTGTTTAGTAGAACCCCCTTTCGGGTTCATCTCCATTCTCAGCACATCCTTATCCAACTGATGTGATGTAGTTCAACATCAGGGGTGATGGGTAAGGGTACCCAAAGGAGGGTATTTACAGAGCATGTTCAGTTCAGTTTAGTCGCTTCACGATCCCATGGACCACAGTACTCCAGGCCTCCCTGTCCATCACCAACTCCCAGAGTTTACCCAGACTCATGTCTGTTGAGTCGGTGATGCCATCCAATTATCTCATTCTCTGTCATCCCCTTCTCCTCCTGCCCTCAATCCCTCCCAGCATCAGGGTCTTTTCAAATGAGTCAACTCTTTGCATCAGGTGGCCAAAGGATTGCAGTTTCAGCTTCAACATCAGTCCTTCCAATGAACACCCAGGACTGATCTCCTTTAGGATGGGCTGGTTGGATCTCCTTGCAGTCCAAGGGACTCTCAAGAGTCTTCTCCAACGCCACAGTTCAAAAGCATCAGTTCTTCAGTGCTCAGCTTTCTTTATCAGCACACTACTTCCTTTCTTTGCCCCACCATGCCATGCACCCCCAACGCCTACCATCATCCTTCGCTTCAGCCTCCATCACTCCCTCCCCCCACCGCCCCTGCTTCCCTGCACCCCCCCGACCCCGTAACAAGCTAGGCTTGGAGTAACCACCAGTGAGGGGAAAGTTCTCGGCCATGAGGGCCCCAGAAGAGTAGACTGTCTGGGAGGAGCTCCCACCACAGGGCCCCTCTGAGTCGTCCGCTGGCCACTGAAATTCAAGGTCACAGGCAAGGTCAAGGGCAGGCTTCAGAGCCAGAACAGTGCCACTGCTGGCCCCCCCTTCTCTTCACCAACCCCCACCGCCCCCCCCTCCCCACCGCCCACCCCCAGGTCTTCTAGCCTTACTTTGCAAGTGAACCAGTAGCAATCGTATGCATAACAGATCAAGGAGCTGTCTCTGGTTTCATTTTAGCTATTGTCACCTAAAAGTAATTGCCCTTGGCCCGTCTCTGGAGGCTGAATTTCCACGGTCTGTGGTTTGTTCCTTAGGGGTAAGCAGGACCATCCTCATGAGGTCTCTTAAAAAAAAGCAAATATTCCTCAGAGGAAGGATTCCTTGAACCAGGCTCAGCTTCCAGTAAATAAATGAGTTCTCCATCAAAAGGCTCATGGTTGGAGTGGGAACAGAATAGAACAAAAGGGGATGGGGGTATCTGAGGGAGGAGAGGTGCTGAAGCAAGGAAGAAAGAGAAGGGAGGTGGGGGCTGTAGCGCTTGGGGGGCTGGAGCAGGGGGAGGTTCCCCAGGCCCTGCAGTGAGGTTTCTAATGGCGCGGACCTGGAGCGCAGCCAACCTGGCACCTTCAGAGCAGAAAGGATTAGCTCTTTGGACCCCAAGGGAGAGGATTAGCGCTTTGGATAGCACTGTGCCGATTTCTCCAACCACTCTGACCTTGACCTGCGTAGATCATTCTAGCACAGGTCCCTGCAGAGATCACTCTAGCACAGGTCCTAGAACTGATTTTTAGCAGAAAGGGCTGGTACTGGGATTCAGCAACACTGTGGTTCTCCCTGTTAAGATGGGGCACAGGAAAGACTCCTTAGGGGAAGAGAAGGAAAGGCTCCCACCATCAGGCCCTGGCCAGGGACTCTTCTTCTCAGCAGGCCTTCAAGCCCAAATGCCCAGCCAGGCCCCATTTGCCAGTGATCATGAGGCTCAGAGAGCTGAGGGAGCCACGTGCCCCCACAAGGCAGCCTGCCTCACCCGTCTATCTGCTCCTCTGGACAACCTCACAGGGAGGCCTCCTGGCCAAGAACTCGTGCCTGATTCTCCCTCTGCAGCTGTGGAGTGGATGCAGAGGGCGCTGGTGTTGGTCCTGAATTGTGTGCTGAGGCAGCGGGTGTTGTCTGCTTGTTCCAGGCAGGGCACAGACGCTGCCAAGGAGGCCAGCGTGCAGCCGTCCCTTGGCTCCAAGAGGCCCTGAGCTGGTTGCCAGGTGCGTGGCCAGTTGGGTCTGATGGCGGTTGCTGAGTACTGTCCTGTTTGCTGCCAAGGCAATCATAATGCGATGCTTTTCTGCACTCATGTGCAGTAAGATTAAAGTCAGTATTCTGTTGGAGAGAAAGCAAGCAAAACTGGTTTCCAGAACAATCCCCTGCCTCTTGCTATCATTATTACACCTTCGTTATTCATGATATGTCAAAAAGGAGTCAGAGAAGGCAATGGCACCCACTCCAGTACTCTTGCCTGGAAAATCCCATGGATGGAGGAGCCTGGTAAGCTGCAGTCCATGGGGTAGCTAAGAGTCGGACACAACTGTGCTACTTCACTTTCACTTTTCACTTTCATGCAATGGAGAAGGAAATGGCAGCCCACTCCAGTGTTCTTGCCTGGAGAACCCCAGGGACGGGGGAGCCTGGTGGGCTGCCGTCTATGGGGTCGCACAGAGTCGGACACGACTGAAGTGACTTAACAGCAACAGCAGCAGCAAAAAGGAGTGGGGATCCACTGACATGCCAATCAACAGCCTCCATTATCATCAGACCAGGGAGGGACACAGATCCTCTTATGCTGTGATAGGTATATAGTTACACAGTATTAGGAGCCCAGTATTAAGGTGGAAGCAGCGGGAGTTTCTCCTCTTGATCTCTAAAAATCACTGCAGATGGTGACCACAGCCATAAAATTAGAAAATGATTTCTTCTTGAAAGAAAGCTATGACAAACCTAGACAGTGTATTAAAAAGCAAAGACATCACTTTGCCGACAAAGGTCCATATAGTCAAAGCTATGGTTTTTCTAGTAGTCATGTACAGATGTGAGAGTTGGACCATAAAGAAAGCTGAGCACTGAATAATTGATGCTTTCAAATTGTGGTATTGGAGAAGACTCTTGAGGGTCCCTTGGACTGCAAGGAGATCAAAGCAGTCAGTCCTAAAGGAAATCAACCCTGAATACTCACTGTATTCAGTATGATGCTGAAGCTGAAACTCCAGTACTTTGGCTACCTGATACAAAGAGCCAACTCATTAGAAAAGACCCTGATGCTGGGAAAGATTGAAGGAGAAGGGGATGACAGAGGATGAGATGGTTGCATGGCATCACTGATTCAATGGACATGAACTTGGGAAAACTCCAGGAGATGGTGAGGGAAAAGGAGGCCTAAAGTGCTGTAGTCTATGGGGCCACAAAGAGTTGGACATGACTTAGTGACTTAACAACAACAGCATTATGAGCCCATAAATGCAAAATTCACAGCTTCCTTTGCTCCCTCCACCTCCCTGGGACAGGACCTGGCACAGAGCAAAACAAAATTAATGAGTTAATCATTGGGGTCAACTCTGAAAGGGGTTGACTTCTCAAAAACCAGGTCCAGAAAAATCAGGAGGGAATTGTCCCCTTACTGACCTCAGATGAACGTTTGATAAACTATTGATTCCTTTGGTTATTTATTACTTATGGCGTGCATATAAGTGAGCATATATTTATGACCTCATGGCTTACATACATTGCATTTTATCTATATAAAACATGTGTTTTATTTGACAGGCAGCTAACCTGGGTTAAAAATGAAGTTCTAAAGTGCAGTTTGAACTTGTGTTCTTAAAGACCTATCTGCCACATGAAAGGATGGTCCTTCCAACCATCGGCTCTTGCTTTGCTGAACTCGTCAAACCATGTCTTATCATAGGTGAGTAAACAGAGGCTCAGCCCAGCAAGTATCCTGTGTATTGATGCCCAACATGAGATGGGAGGGAACACCAGTATCCAGGCTTCATGGGCTTCCACTCAGCTCTTTCTCTGGCACACTTCACAGGATCAGCCTTTCTAAGAGTCTCTCAAGCCAGGGAAGGACTTTTTGTCACTCTCTTTAAAGCACGCCATAATTAACAACCTGCTTTTCCTTTTCTCTCTAATCCACACGGGGCTTATAAGATATCCTGTGTTATTCTGTAGCTGGATCATGCTGGCTTCTTGTTATGTTGAAATGTTTCCATTAAGTATATTGGACTCACATAGTATTTATTTTAAACAAGCCTCTAGGAGATGAGCTAGTTCCTAGATTAGGAGCTCAGACATTTTAAATGAGGACAAAGACCCTGGGTAAACCTGCAAAGCAGGCCAGCATGCTTGGTGTGCAGGTGAGGGAACTTATTACAAGGTGTCAATAGATTCATGTGTACTGATTATAGACTAAATGAACAGTATTTCTAGCACGCATATCTCCTGCAGCTCCACAAACATCTATTTCAAACTTTGGGGCCAAATGTGTCTTGGGAGTCAGATATTTAAGGTTTTAGAGGCCAGGTAATAGGATGTATCTGCCAGGTATTAATAACATCCCCAGCAGAGTCTGAGGCAACACCCTATAATCAAGCACTTTAATCATTCTGCAATTAAGTATGGGAATGCTAAGTCACTACAGTCATGTCCGACTCTGTGTGACCCCATAGACGGCAGCCCACCAGGCTCCCCCGTCCCTGGGATTCTCCAGGCAAGAGCACTGGAGTGGGTTGCCATTGCCTTCTCCAATGCGTGAAGTAAAAAGTGAAAGTGAAGTCGTTCAGTCGTGTCCGACTCTTGGCGACCCCATGGACTGCAGCCCACCAGGCTCCTCTGTCCATGGGATTTTCTAGGCAAGAGCACTGGAGTGTGGTGCCATTGCCTTCTCTGAAGTATGGGAATGTTCACTACTAATGGGTTAAAGAAAGACTATGAAGAGCCGTAGGCCAGTGCAGGTCAGGTTTTGCCCCCAAATTAGTTTGTCACAAACTTACAAAAAAAAGAACCTGCAATAAAAAACCTAAAGCCTATCTTCAGTGCTTTATGAAGTTCAAGGATAAGGGACTGTAGAACTATCACAATTTAAATATAAGAATATACTGATCAGTAAGAGATATATTTTTTAAACAAGTCCCAATATTTAATGTACCTTGATGCTGTTACATATTTTCTGTAACAGTGCCTAGATACAAAGATAACTGCAGATATCATGTCAGAAGTCACATTTTATGGGCTCTTGACTGTGCTTGGTGGAGCCCTGATACCTGGAGCCCCGCCCCTCCCCAGCGCACAGCCTTAGTAGTGGGAGGACCAGCTAAGACCTAAGGCAAAACCTTATCCTTGAGGGTAAGGGTTCCAATTTTATTAAGTAGAAGGACCACTTTTTAACTGTACAGGATCTGGAACTAGATTCCAGGGTTAAAATATTCGCTCTGCTATATACCTTTTATTATTATTTATTGTTGGCTGCGCTGGGCCTTCGTTGTTGTGCTTTCTCTAGTTGGGTGAGTGGAGGCCTCTCGCTAGTTCAGGTGGCTTCTCTTATGGCAAAGCATAGGCCCCAGGGCACACAGGCTTCAATAGTTGCAGCACATGGGCTTTGTTGTCCCGAGGCATGTGGAATCTTCTGGGACGAGGGATTAAACCCATGTCCCCTGCATTGGTTGGTGGATTCTTAACCACTGGACCACTAGGGAAGTCCTTTTGTGAGACCTCAGACAAGTCATTTTACCTCTTCTTGCTCCAGCATCTTGCTCACTCATAAATGAGACTAATAATAGTCTTATCTCATAGGGATATTGTAGGGACTAAATAAGTTAATTCAGATAAAACTCTTAGAGGGCACATAGTAATTTCTGAGGAAATGTTGGCCATTATCATTATTATCACTATTGGCTTATATATCTATTGTAGACATTTGACTCTCCAAAGATGTCCACACCATAGTTCCCGTAACCTGTTACAGAAAATACGGAAACATACCCCCAAATATGAGTTTGTAGATGTGGTTAAGCTTAGGATCTTTGAGTGAGTCGTTATCTTGAATTATTCAAGTGTTCTCAATCCAATCACATGACTTCTTAAAAGGAGAAAACTCTTTCTGGCTGTGAAGGGAAAGAGAGGTGACAACTGAAACAGAGACAGAAGCTGCACTGATAACTTTGAAGAGGAAGGAGGGGCCACAAACAAACTAGTGTGTCCATAGAACCAAAGGTTATTGGTATGAAGATCTGACACCAGCTACCAGAAGGGTACCACACAGTAGTAGAGTAACGCTCAAAATTCTCCAAGCCATGCTTCAGCAACATGTAAACCGTGAACTTCCAGATGTTCAAGCTGGTTTTAGAAAAGGTGGAGGAACCAGAGATCAAATTGCCAGCATCCACTGGATCATCAAAAAAGCAAGAGAGTTCCAAGAAACATCGATTTCTGCTTTATTGACTATGCCAAAGCCTTTGACTGTGTGGATCACAGTAAACTGTGGAAAATTCTGAAAGAGATGGGCAAAACAGACCACCTGACCTGCCTCTTGAGAAACCTCTATGTAGGTCAGGAAGCAACAGTTAGAACTGGACATGGAACAACAGACTGGTTCCAAATAGGAAAAAGAGTACATCAAGGCTGTATATTGTCACCCTGCTTATTTAACTTATATGCAGAGCACATCATGAGAAATGCTAGGCTGGAAGAAGCACAAGCTGGAATCAAGATTGTTGGGAGAAATATCAATAACCTCAGATAGGCAGATGACAGCATCCTTATAGCAGAAAGTGGAGAGGGACTAAAAAGCCTCTTGATGAAGTTGAAAGAGGAGAGTGAAAAAGTTGGCTTAAAGCTCAACATTCAGAAAACTAAGATCATGGCATCTGGTCCCATCACTTCATGGGAAATAGATGGGGAAACAGTGGAAACAGTGTCAGACTTTATTTTTGGGGGCTCTAAAATCACTGCAGATGGTGATTGCAGCCATGAAATTAAAAGACACTTACTCCTTGGAAGGAAAGTTATGACCAACCTAGACAGTGTATTAAAAAGCAGAGACATTACTTTGCCAACAAAGATCTGTCTAGTCAAGGCTATGGTTTTTCCAGTGGTCATGTATGGATGTGAGAGTTGGACTGTGAAGAAAGCTGAACATCGAAAAATTGATGCTTTTGAACTGTGGTGTTAGAGAAGACTCTTGAGAGTCCCTTGGACTGCAAGGAGATCCAAC